AAATTGATCTTTCGATATACGACGAGTGATTGGAGGGGGAAATTGGGAAAAAGGGAATTTTCGAATTTTCGAATTTCTCGAATTGTGCGTTTGTTTGTTTTATTGAGGTGCTAGGTAGTTGACACCCTCCACAATCCTTTGGAAGATTGAGCGAGAGTGAGGCCGGCCTAGGTCAACTTAACTACCAAAACAGTACAAAAAATCTCGTCCCACCTGAATGACCGGACCACTTCAGACTTAACTTATGTGTTGAACATGTAAGTCTAGATGTCTGGATAGCCCAAATTTGACGCACCGAAGCGAAATTCTCCCTTCAAACTCGGCCACTATGCGCCCGAGCCCTTGGCACTCTCATAATCTCTAGTTTGTGCTTTTCATTCAATGCGAGACATTATTCATCCCATCATCCCCTCACCTCATCCAGGAGTTGTTTTCCTCGTTGGATGCTTCATCCAGCCGCCCACAAAGGCAATCTAATTTTTCCTCCCTTTATTTCTCCACTGTAGCTTCCTCTTAATTCTTCCGTCAAAATCTTTCTCTTGGAAACTTTGTAGGCTCTCTATCTCTGTAGCCTTGCTACATTGCTGCCGTACCACTAACCATTGACGGAACTTGGTTCTGGGGGAGTACTAAACTCCCAGATAGGTAGTGGACACCGCGTACAGGTGTTCAGTCTTTGTTCTCCTATTAAGCGAGCTTTTTCATATGCTTTTAGGTGTACCCACAACGGAGAGATATCAGTTTATTCTACTCAATTTGTTCGCATCCCTACAGCACGGCGCTGTATGAGTCTATTCAATGTCAACTTCACTTTTCCTATTCGTCTTTACTTTGAGGCATCATGGAATTTCCCCTACCTACGCTGCGAATCTCTGGGTTCAACCTCAGTCTGCATCATGCAATACCATTGGCCGTATCGTCCAGATGCCTAGGAGCGCGATTTCTAGACTACTATTGATGCACGAGTCGTCACGAAGCCAATTCAGCAGTAATTTCAATCAACCAATAGTCCTCAGTACATTGTATTCATGAGCATGTCATATCCGTCCGTTCTATCAACCACGATCCTTAACCCTTCCTAGCTCGGGAGGTCGCGCATGTATCTGAGAAATTGATAAAGTTTGTAGTGTGGCTAGCACAGTAACCTAGTTGCGCAAACTGAGGATGTAGAGAAGTTCGGGACGTACAGAATGGGTCGATGGAATTGCGGTTTTGCGTGTCTCGAGTGCTAGTATGAGGCGTCGGCAGCGTCATTTTAGGGTTGCGCGAATTGGCTGGACCAGCCAGCGATACGGTGGCAAGCCTAGTGTGTTTTTTCCTCTTTCTTTACTCGATTACTTTGTTGACCAGACACGACCGTCCCAACAAAGATGCTGCTCTTCTTTCCCTTTCTTTTTCACACGACTTTTCGTCATAACAGAGCGCTGACTCATGGCGAATATCTCGCTTTTGTTGTTTAAAAAAAGAAACAGGTCCGGCAGTTCGTTCCCATTACTCCTGCCTGGAGTTGCACACAGTGGGTATATGTAGTGTTTTCCTTACTCTGTCCCCAAATACCACGTGGTTTGTAACATTGAACTTTTACCCTGAGACGCTTAATATCAAACCTTCATCTACGAAATTTCCCGACAGTAAGTTCTTTCTCATTTTAGATTGTACCGAGCGAGAATGAATCTCCTCCACAAATAATCCCATTTGGCACATCAGCGATACTCGTGGCCGAGCTATAATCTGCAAGTTGTACCTATTTATTTTCAGTGGGAGAAAACTGTCTGATTGTTAAGTCCAATTTTTCTCTATTTCCAACAAGATATCGTTCTGTGGCCCAGACAGAGCAGAGACTAAGGCCAAATACGATAAGTTGGGGCCGCATTATGATGTCAATGCAGAAAAGCGATATAGTTGGAGAGTTTGAGTAATGCGAGGTCGATGGAAGGGTGAACGAGAAATGAACGGTTGATGTGCGGCGACAGATAAGCATGTGAGGGACAGGGACGTAGACACCATCTATACTGCCATCAACCTCCTTCTGACTCTGTTCATAATCTTGCACGAAGAACGCCCTTTCTTTAGGCCTCCCTCCCATCCCTCAAGAAGTAATTTCAATCACTTCATAATTATGGTGACTAGTTGACGTGGGAGCATACGATAAGTAGTTATCAGATGCATTAATGCCTATATATGGCAGCCAGGAAGTAATATCGGCGGGATCAAGCTGAAGTTCCGAGATGGTTATCGTCGAAGTATGAAGATCGAGTCATAGAAAGTAGTTGCTGCTCATTCATCTTTTCCTCCATCAGCCCGGACGCGTGATTAAGAATAAGTGCTATTGAAGATTTCCCTCTACATACTGGGCCCATCCCATCTAAGCTTGACATTAGGGCTTCCAACGATGTAATCCAACAGGTAATCTGTTGGTATAACACTTGTCTGTACCTAGGTTATGCAAGTCAGCTCACATCGATAGACATGATCTGCCTAGAACAACACTTACAAGTGAAGAGGGGGCTTTCGTAGAAGCTGAAGCGTATGGGCCTCTCTCTCTCGTATCAACTATTGATAATGTGTTGGAAGTTGAAATAAATGGGGCTATCTAGTAGCTTGCATAGACGACAGACGCATGAGAAACTCATAGACTGCATCTAACTTCATTCATGACTAGAATTAACACGTCTCACAATCTCATGACTTGATTCTCGTTATTTCCCCATCAGAACCGTTGGATTGGAGTAGGCTTGCAGAATATTCCAATCGTATAAAATCTCTCGCGCGAATGGAACTCGAAGTAATGTGAGCGCGGCAGACGCACGAGCTGTCATGAGTGTGGTAATCACGTAGTTTCGACCTCTTTGAATGACGCGCCTTAGCTCGCTTGAGTCTGGCTTGCACTCCAAGAGGCTGGACAATCGATAATAACCTCGACCCTTCTACGTCACCATAGGGGCCTCCAGTCGTCGCATTTTTTTGTGATGTTATGTCGAACTTTCCCTTCATCTATTCGCCAATTCATACGCCCGTTTGTGCGGGAACCAGAATGCAGGGTTCATTGACAAGTCAAATCTAGTGGAAGAGGTTGTCTACAAAGAGAGCAAGTAGGCTCTTGCCTAATCCCTGCAGTATATGTAGTTACTCAAAGTAGATGTTAACAAATACATCATGACATGTAATCTACAAGTTCGTCCCTTCACCGTAATTTTATGGACAAAATTCGTCCCCCGGGATTATGAAGTAAAGGAAGTTTCTGGGACGAAATACAGTGAGTCCCGACATGACTGGAGTCGGTCAAGACCCCTCAGGAACAGATTAAGACTCAGACGTCTAGATCATAACTGGAGCCGATGGACTTTTAATTAAAATGTGAGTGTAACACCACGTCTGATGACTTTACTTACATTCTCTCACCTAAATCGGATCATACTCTGTTCATATGACCTATTGTAAGGAGGTGGTAAGACCGTGTATTGCAGCTACAGAAGGTGACATGGGTGTAGATGATGATCGATGTTGCGATCAATTTCTGTATATTTTATCGTAAATATACCCAGGTTCATATAACTAGAAGCCAAGCAACCAAATTTTATTCCTCCAAATCTATATTATTTGGACTAATTAATTAATCAGTATAATCCCCCTAGTCTAAGTTGTGTGCTAGGGATCTTGAGGAGGTTTCTAGTAACTATTCAATAACGTTTCTCCTATGACTGAGAGATAGTCATGATTGTTTGAAGATTATCGACCAATGAATTAATCATATCTCTACATGACACATGTTGCCTCGCCGTCTCGCGATCCTTCCCAGTCTCACACAAGTGTGGCGCATTGGCGAATAGTCGTTTGGTACAAGATACTATTAAAAACTCTCTCTACTACGCCCCAATAATAACCTAAATCTCCACATCACCTAATCCTCGATCAATCCGTTCAACTAGGGATATCCATATTCCGGTGTGTCGTCATAGTGGAACAATGGTTGGATTGCGACAATTTTTTATGTCTCAGCGGACAAGTCAATAATTAAATCTAATTTAACTTGAGGCGACCGATTACCTAGATTGGAAAATATTCATCCAAATCTCCATCTAAGGATCTCAGTGCGTAGAGGACGTTGCAGTACTAGGTCTGCAGAGGTCATCGCTGATCCGTGTCCATATTTCTTCGGAATACCACGTTGCATTACTTGTATACCTTTCCTAGTATGTCCAGTTTGATGTTATTGAAATTTTCAAAAAATTGCAAGGAGAAAATGTGCCATTTATTCCTTCCAGTCATACCTCGATCAATTAAACGGCCCCTTCAAATCCAGCTGATATGACTCATTCAAGCTCGACATATTGTAAGAAATTTGTCAAGAGACATAAACTAGTTGGTGACACGTTGTGTCGCATTATTGGTCGCAGCGAAGAGAGTTGTGAAAAGAAGCGATAGTTAAGCGGTAAATTGCGGAATTTTGGCACTACCTGGCCATAACTTCCGCTATATAGTGCTTTTTCATGACTGAGACAATATCTTCTAGCTCCAATGTAGTCGTAGAGTTTACTTGCAAACACATACGTGTTATGATCTTCATCCCGAATAGATCTACATCCAACTGAACTCGTGCAAAACTCCATTTATCCGGATCGCCTTTATGCGATCGTAGCGGGACTCATACGCGGCCTTGGAAATCGTGAAATAATTGAATATTGTACCCATCATATTTTGCCATATTAACCTTGCCATCGCCCATGCAGTTGCCGCATCCTTGTCGGATATCTTGTCTCCAATATTGCATCGTTGTCTTGCTTTTATCAGCTTCACGGTGTCGTAATGAATGTATGGCACACGGAGAGCTGAGAATAAGTTGAATTTCAAGTGATGCGCCACTCTCACCAACTCGAACATACACTTCATCGCGGCGCGCGACATCAGGTTGCGATGACCATGGCGGTTTCCAAGGACTAGGCCCAGCCTGAGCATTGAGCGACAATGTGGCGACACATCGATAGTCCATAGACTCTAAGTTAAACTGCATAATCCCCCATATCTTGCGTGATCCTCTCATTATTACAAGAAGAGTTCAAACATGCTTGTGCATCTTCGCCTGCGCTTCGGGCTGATGTTGGCTATGTTTTATGGTTTGCGGCTGTCCCAGCAGGGTGTATATCTCACCTTTCGGTTAGTGGTAAAGAGGCGCATGTTAGCGCCTGTGCGAAGGTAAATTGCGTACTTCTCACAGCGATAATTGATCAGGATATATGGAGTTGGCTGAATGTTTTTTTTCTCGTCATACATGACCGAACCTATTGGATACATATAGTGACGTCGCTTGAGTATATCGGTGATACGATAGGGATGAAAGAAGCTTCCCAGCTGTATTGCATCCCCTAACTTAACCCTTCTCTTTTTAAATGCCTCCTCACACCCTGCGAAACGGGCAATATTGGCATTCATTTCATTAATGTGCAATTTTCCGCATTTGATGCCGTTCTTCGGAAATTTGTACTTTCCAAAGTCGTCAGTGTACAGGGGAAGATTCCGTAGTTCTGGCGCCTTCAGAGAAGAGCTGGCTTTCGCAGAGCGTTGCTGTCTATTGAATGGGTTCATATCATCCCATTTCAAGCTGGCAAAGCAGAGACCAAAGAATAAAAAGAAGATGTATAGCTGCATATTGATGAGTGTCGCAAGATTGGTTGTCTTATCTCTCACAAAGAAGTTGTTCGCCGCGTCTCCTACTACACTCTTTTGGGATACTTAAGTCATTTGTTCTTTTAGACAATTCAGTGCAGACATAGTTATCTAACTATCATAGAAGCTACATGACTAGACGTAAAATAAAGATCATCATCAGAGGCTACATGAATCTTTGGAATTCACACACTAGTCACGCTGTTTAATCTTATTCTACACATAGCTTTTCCCAGAATAGCTGATCCTGGAATCCATATTGGCAATTTCCGAGTCACGCTGAAGATGAACACTGCCAAACCGAATCGCGAGATTGAGCATGAGAAGAAGCCGACAGCCGAGATGGGATTTGGGGTTAAAGAGTTGTGAGACTGATACGATAAAAATTGAACGTTGATCATCTACCTATTCGCTATTCCCACATATCTACATCAATGGTATAAAATAATCATGGTTTTGGCTTTTATTCTTTGAATAATTTTGCGTGTTTACATGTTGGATGATTATATTGGTATTAGAGACTCTTATACTCGGGGTTTTATTCGCCAATACTACAATGGGATATGCCTCCATACCCAAACAGTTGACCCTCCTCCGTGAATATCGATCAAAGGAGATCTTCAAAGTCTTTGATTACCAAAGCATGTCTTCTTTATCCATGCACATTAGCGTCGCGAGAAATGTGGTTGTTTCTTGCCTGACTCGAACTAGCAATCTGCTGTCTCAAGCGGGATGTGTTCTGGCTATCCGGACCTTACATGGGAGACCGGCCGAGACGATGTACCACTGCACCGTCCAACCATAGTTTCAGTGCTCTCTGTAGGGTCTACAAAGACAGGGTTGAGTAACATCTTTGTCCTCACGTAATTGAGGATTCCCGATCGCTATTGCGGTCTGCATCGGTTTCAACTCTTCACACAGTCGGCAAAGACGATTTCCTCACCTTCCAATGGTGCCGGTGTAATAGCTCGTTATCCTCTACATATCTGGGATAGCCAAGAAGAATCGTATCCGAATCGCAGTCGATAGTAACCTCAGGCACATCTCCATTTAACGACTTCTCGATCTTTTTTTTTTGCATCAGATTTTAATTGCGTATGCAGCTATCTAGCTATGACACAATATCAAAGAAAAGTACAGAATAGATGATTCAACGTAAAGGAAAAGCACTCATGCCTCGGATTTCATTTGTAAGTACCACTGCGAAGTTAAGGTGGCTTTTTCTTCACCCCAAGTCAACCCTCATTCGTGAATACCAACCCAGGGGAACGTCTAAAACCCCTGAGTTATCCAGACATGCCTCCATCATCCAATAACTTTTCTCCGCGCGAAATATTGTCTTAGGCGTCTCCTTCCCAAGTGGAGTAGGTGCGCAGGCTACTCAGACTATACCAGAGAACACCACGACTTCTCGATCACGCAGCACTCACCATTAGCTTCTGAGTCCTAAACCTCTAACAACACACCATCTCGCCTCAACTACCAACAAAAGCGTCATCCCAATTTCGCACAGGAGCTTGCCCCATTAATTTCCAGCCATCTCTCACTATATATTTACGACGTTATTTATACCCGCAAGGACAAAATCAAGTCGAAAAATACAAATCCTGGGTCTTGACTTGTGGAACACTGTTTCTCTAATGGGACAAACAACTTTAGGAAGGATAAGTGGCTGAGATGTGGAGCGAGGGGGGAGCAAGTTTATGAAGACCATGCTGTGACTGATATTTTCGAGGAGGTTTCAACTTTGGAATATTTGTGGGCGCCAAGACCAAGGTTTCAGCTGATTAGCTAGGACGACTTAAATTGTCGATGAGTCAACGGCACTCCCCAGCGCTCTGGACGCTACAAAAGAAGTTGGGCTAAGCTACAATACAGCAATCACGCTCTGTCAAGACTTTTCCGACATTTCAGCACGACCTTCGGGAAGGAGGCTAGAAAGATAGAGAGTGAATTCCGCGAAGTACCCACAAGTCTGCAGCGCCCAGCTGGCCGGCCTATTCGAACGCATCAGGAGGGTCACTATATCTTCGGAATTATTCCTAATTTCAGTATTAGGAGAGCCCCGCACCTAGTGGTTTTTTGCAATTTTTCCCGGCTGCCATACACCCGCGAATGGCCATAGTTTTGTTGGCTGGAGAGGGGAGATGATGAAGGGCTAAGGGCTCCCCTAAGTGTATGATCGAATGAGGACATGTGAGGGGTGGTACTGTTTGAGGGGAGCTGTATGGGAGGCATAGGAGGGGATATACTACTAGTATAGATATACTTAGCCTGTAGACAGAGAGGATCTGCATGTCCTACATAGTCATAGATTCAGATAGGACAATAAAATGAATTAATAATTAATCACGGTTGGAGCAAACCTAACCTTGAAACTAATTAGGAAAGAGCTTCCGTCACAGTCATAGATAGGTCACATAAGGAAAGGTGATCAGAGCTGGCGCGGAAAACTCTTCCTGTGGAGAGATCATTTTGATATTAGTTGTGGGATAGAGGTAGTTGGTATATGTAAACTTGATATAATTTATTGGTTAATTCTCCCCAAAGAGAACCTACAGTAGCAGCCGCTCTAAGATTGAGAGACAATGCTATATGGCCTTGCTACTAGGAGATATACAGCGACACAAATCTGCGGATATTCATGCACATGAGTGCGAAGGTGAAGGAGAAAAAATGAGCATCTCGTTCCTTTTCAGATCTCAAGGAGCGGAAGCAATCTTGTGCGGGCCCTCGGGCCATGAAGATAGTTATGATGCTTAAACTTTAATACGCTTTTTGGGCTACCACGCGGTTTGTATAAGGGTTCTTTCAATTAATCCTTGTCCCCGAGTCGGATTGTCTATCTCGTCATACGTTCAACTCCCGATTCTAATTGCCCCTACTTCTACTAATACAACTCTTCCTCTCATCCTAGCGCCAATCCAAGTGACAGACGCTAAGTTACCGATAGGGTGGTGTTGAATGTTTCGCAGCAAGACGTCGCTGAGTGATGCACGTGTGTAGAGGGAAGACGTCGGTTTTTTGCATGTCAGATTTGAGAACGCTAGCATAATCTGGCAGCTTGGAGCCTCTGTGTTGGTGAAAAATGATGGTGTTAAATGATGGTGATATGCAAATATTAGTGGTGTCTATAAACATTATGCTAAATATCCAGGACGCCGCTCCGATAAATGTTTCTTGGTATGATGGTTGTGGAAGCATTCAATTTGTCCAGACCGACAGGAAAATAGGTGTCAATGCTAGGCCTTTCCCTTCCTTTTCTTTTCATCGTTCTTTTTGGTAACCGGAAGTTTACGACCATCCCAACATAATGAGTAGGTCACAGTCACCTTCTTTGGCTTGTCTTTGACTGGGGTGAGGGTGCGCGTGTAAATGGCGAACATCTGGTATTTTCTATTTAGGAATAGAAAATCCATTTGTTGAGTCTTTTCAGGAGCCTTGACCTTTGTTTCGCGCAGCGGATACATGAAGATTCTTTCCCTAAAAAATCTCCAAAATACTGGGGCTCGGTATCGTTGCCCCTTCAATTTGAGAGAGCGTATATGAAATTGATTCAGCCTCTTAAACTCATCTACTGCTTTATTTTTAGATTCTTCGATTTGAGTTGGCGAGTAATGGCGAAATCCGCACGTAACCCCGAGGACACCCACCTTTTCGACTCCTATTGCTGGTTTGAAAGCTATAATTATCGGCTTTTGCTTTTTGGTTGATTTCGTGTTCGTATCGCGGCCAATCAATGCGCGGCCGTTGTTTTGGTCATCGCCGGCCCATACATGAGAGAGGCCTAGGCATAAAAGAACTAAATGCAGCTTCATATTGGCTCCACACACAAATAGCAACAGAGTGAACAAAGGGGGCCAAGGAGCGACAAAGAGAAAGCAGCGAGAGATGAACGGATAACGAGCGACGATGGTTGAGCAGCTGGAGAGCAGGACACGTAGATAGCTTTTATACGACTGGGAACATTCATCTAATTTCGTCAACAATCTCGCATGAACTGTGAATTCTACTAGCTCTCCACTCGCAACAATCGTGTCCTAATTTCAACCAGGTCATGATGACGGTGACCAGTTTTGGTGGAAGCACATGACGAGTCATTACCAGATACGAGCATGGCTTTACACGGCGTCCTGGAAATTTCATGGGCGCGCCTGTTGGTACTCTCCCTCGGCCTCAGTTTTCGGACGACGTTGGCCGGGCGGGAACAAATAGAAGCCCCGAAATGGTTGGCATAGAGCAGTGAACATCTAGTCGTTAAGAGCTTTTGCCGCCACTCTTCGTCTCCTTCATCTGTGCTGATGTGTGCCCAAGTTTTGTTACTGCTGACCTGCTCTTCTCCCTACACCCCAGGCCTGTCCAAGCTATCATCGACATTCGAGCCTCCAATGGTAATCTTAATAGTAATTTGGCCGCAAACTGCTCATGTGTGCCGAAAAGTGATGAGCACACCTTGGCACTCAGGCGTGTCGCGGAGGGAGTTTAATGAAAGTTTGAGAGGCTAGATCTGTCTATTCCCACTGGTCTCATGGGGGGGGGGGGCGATATTGAAGGAGTCAATCGGAATGCCACACAGCTGGCCTGCTGAAACTTCAAATTCCGTATTCCAAGCTCAAAATCTCTCGTGATTAGGGGTCCAAATCCTTCTTTGCCATGGCCCAAGTGGACCGGTGACATGTAACAAGCATTATAGAGTACCCTAATACTCACGAGTAACCATTTTCAGTAGACAATTCATATACAGACGCCGCTTTCGCTCTAGTTTTTACTGTGCTACTTGAGTCATGGACTATTTAGCACATTGAGCTCCTCTCTGGCCTAGGCTACACTTTGTACATTGTTTATATCCCCTTCTGGTTGCGATAGAATATATCTGGTATGTTGCCTATGATGGATGGCAGTCAACCTCGGGATTTAGGCGTATAGCTAAGCCGCCCATACAACGGGGCCTTGGACCAGCTTTGGAATCCCTAGAGAGTCCCACATCTCAGGCGAGCCGTTTTGGCTAATGCGAATGATGCCTCAGGCCCCAGAAGTGTTGCGCAACTGCCCATGGGCATTTTTCCCGCGCGCGCATCGTTCAGCCTTCGAACAGAGGCCTTCCACACACCACAACATCGGGGCATCCCATCAGTCAGAGAGCCGGATATCTCTCGCCAGCGCAATACGCAGCGGCTAGCCTACCTAAAAACAACTAGCGATAGTATGATAAGTTAGCGAAGGCGTGGGCTCAATGTGCCGTGATCTAGGATGGCACGCATACTCAGCTATTACCCTTGAACATGGGGACGAAATCAATCCACCGACTACTTTTTAAAACCCTCACCTCGAGTTGACATGGTGAGGATTTGTTTTACGACTCATCAACTACTAAACACGAGACTTGATGTCACAACTGCTAGTCAGCAGCCGTGTCGCGATCTAGGACCGAGATTTCCATGTGTGCAAACTGACCCCAATAACTGCGAGTGCTCTCACCAGATAATACTCCCATCACACGCTATCCTGTGGCCATCAACTACGCCTGATCCGGCAGAGAGCCTGAGTCTTATTCGTAAATTCGCACCTTTCTCACAAGGTTTCCATGTCAACGTTGTGCTCCAATTGCGCACGGGCGTGCAGCTTGTGTCCTTGGTCGCATAACCATTCCTGCTACGATTATAGCAAATTAGGGATTCACAAAGCCCCGTAAGAGGTCTGATCACGCTACCTGTTCGCACAGGTGAATGCAAAATGAATTTTATATTCCGTACAGATAAAGAAATTGATGAACTACACGATTAAGAACATGCTGAGCCTTACGTAGATCACTTTTGAATTGACTATCCCTTAATTTCACACAAAGAATACATACTATGGTCACTGCATCAACTCGATCCTAAGCGCCCAGCGTTCTATGATTCTAGTTTGGCCGAGTGGTAATGTATACATCTCATGTACAATGTATCGTAGCAGGCGTTTGTCGAATCTCCAGTGTCAGTCCAATCAACCAATAGCGTAGGCCTCTAACGGAGTCAACTACATCACATCTCCATTGCCGACAAGATCAATTTCCATCAAAGCGTCATACAGTCGACAATTTTCTCATGGTACAACCTCATTTAAATTACTAATCCCCTCGTCAATCCAGTCTTTGGCCCCACCGAGCCCCTAGATATACGCCCACAAGCATATGAATACCCGCTGAATTTTCTTAATGTGGAGCACTAGTCCAGCGCGTTTCATCTTTGAGAAATTCTTAAGAGACATTAGAGCAATTGAACCAGACGATGTGAACCATCGATGCCGCCTTGGACGGAATGAAGCTTTGTATCTTGGAAAAGAACTTGTTGCATGAACAATGCTCTTCAAGTTAACAAGTCTCTCGCAAGCGGGTAACATGTCAGAGAGAAACTGAGACAACTGCGAAGCATCCAAGGAAAATGCTTGAAGCTATAGTCGGCGCATATGACTCTACTAGCAGCTGGGTACGAGACCACAAATCCACGCCTCTTCCCATATATATATCTACCCGAAACAAAGGAGGGTCCAACACGTTGGACTTTCATAAGAACTACCTGTCAAAAGAACGAAACTATCTGCATGCAATAAATTCAAGCAGACCGCAAGAGGAACCGGGAATAGGCACGCCAAGAATTGAAAGGCAGACAAAAATGCCGGTGAGGATATACATCCCAAAATTTCAAACATATGGTCTTGGCGTGTCATCAGTGAGCAATGGAAGGAGGAAAGGTGCTTTGAAAGCCAAAAGATAGGTCTATTGCGGCCATGATGAATAGCCTAGATTAGACGGAGTGGATTGCAAGGTGGATCCTGTTTAAAGGCATGTTTGAACAGTTCCGGCTCGCAAGAGAACTATAGATAGCAATGGACTAAAAGATGAAACGATGTAGACAAGGATAGGACGGAGTTCGCACTGGATGATTAGTTTGAATACACTTCCTACTGGAAACCGTAGAAAATCAATAGAGGTAAGACGGACAGTTTTGGGGGGTTTCTATCGAATTGGTTCCCTCTGTAAATATTATATCTAGATGTACCTAAATGGCTTAAATAAAGTCTCGCGCGAAAATGGCTGGTTCGATTCAAGCGAGAAAGCAGCAATTTTCTCGCTGTGCACGTATATGTGCATGCAGAAGGCACTCTTGGACCACCGGATGCTTTTTAAATCCCCCTCAATTGGCACTCGCGCAGGAGGGTCGACTGAACTGTCCAGAAAAATATACCTCATAGTGGTCCTTGCAAATAAAGGGGGAGGCCTGAGTGCTCTACTTTGAAAGTGAGTCATATGCTCTGTACTTTATCTCTGATAGCATGTCTAAGTTTCCTCCTTGCCGCTACACGAAGCATTGTAATTTTTTGTGGTAGATGGCCAGTGATGGATGAGACAAATCACGCTTTGCAATTGAAAGATTGATGGTTTATTGAAGCGGGGAGGTATGTGGTGAATTTGGGTTGGTTAACTCGTGTGAGAATGATAGATCCAACACTGGCGAAATGTCGATTTTAGATATGATTGTACTTGCCTTCGACCTCCACTGGATACACTTCTTCCGGGCTATCCTGGATGCGCAGAGTAAACAAAGAGTTAACACTAACACCGCTGAAAGGTAAATAAATTGTCCTTGACAGTGGAAAAAATTTGTATTCCTGTACATGTATGTTACGTTTCAGTCGGGCTATATCCACATCTTCGGCCCCCCAGGATCTGATATGGTGTTGTACATTGGGCTGGCACTCCTCCAAAGATCATTTAATAGATGTATTCTTTTGTAGATTGATCGTACTGACAAAATCTTTGCACCTCCCGGACTTTTCAAGTATCACAAGAGGCTCTGAGCGCTGTACAAGGTGTGGTCTGGGCCAGAGAGTAGCCTGATGTGCTAGATAGTCGTAGACTCAAGTAGTACGATAAACACAACCCTCTCGGCTTACCAAAGAGTCTCAAAAATTCCCCGCACTCGTAGACATCTATCAGCAGGGAACTTGAGATAGATGACTACAATAGAGAGCCAAAACTATCACTCCTCACCAAAGGGTCGCGCAAACTTTAGTTGGACTTTGCCAGATGTCACATCGTCATCCCCCGTCTCGAGGGAGAAGAATTCCAGGCTATCTAGACTCTATCTGGAAACTCAACTCGGATCATGTACCACTGAGCCATGCAGCCGCGGCAGATTTGCAGTGTCGCCCGCCCCCACACTCTCACAATACTCCACAGTGGGAAGCTTATTTCCGGATACTCGACACTCTATCCAGACTCGACATCATCTTGTCTAGCTATCCTGAACATCCGGCCCATCGATTCGTGCGCCACGATTTTGATTCTTTCCGTGTTCCCTCGACATGTCGTAGGCATACACATGGCTGCCATATGAGGCTAGAGGCTGGGTCTACGAGGGCTGTGATCACAGAGATCGAAGAGTACTTGTATAATGGAAAAGGATTTAGTCAGATGAAATATGTAAGTATCCCTAGATAATGCCTTGTAGGCAGCTTTTCGGTTTTACGACATCTATTGGAACTTAGCTCTGCGTGAATATCTCATTTCCAGATTCGTACGGGAAACAGAACACAGGTGACAGCTATTGAATATGCGCTGATGCACTCGTAGCCATTGTAATCTTTTATTCATTCATCTATCCGTTCTCGCATCAAGAAACACGGGACATGCCCACGAAATCGTCCAGAAGCTATACATAATCTGGCCGGCAATGACGAATTCTTCACCTTCCAGTTTTGCCGGTGTAATCGCTTAGTATTCTCTGCACATCTGGAATAGCTAAGAAGAATCAAATCTGAATCGAAGTCAAAAGTAATCTCAAGCACATCTAAAATTGTCGACTTCTCGTCAATGTCGGTTTTGTCATTCTCACGAGAGTTCTCTACCTCAATCTTGATACAACACAGATGAAAGCGTTACTCCAATTGCAATCAGCAATTCGCCTCATCAAAAATTGACCATCTCCCACTACAAAGTTACGATGCTATGTATACTCTCGGGGAGAAAACTAAGCCATAATCTACAAAGCTTGGGTCTTGGTCTATAGGGGGACCGTAGCTCTAATGGGGCTTCACATATTGAGGAAGAGTAGGCAGCTGGGATGTGGGAAGAACGAGTGAAGAGGTCACAAATTAGTATTCTGGGTTGCATATTTTTCGATGGGTTTCGACTTTTGGGTACTTGTGGCCGCCAAGGCTAAAATTTCTGATAGTGCTACGGACAGTATAAACCAGGAAACGATGGAAGGTGTTTTGGTCCGCCTCTTGGCCTTCATCTTCCCGAACAAAAGTCTGGGTAGCCTGAACACCTACCTCACTCGAGAAAGAGAGGACTGTGAGGCCATATCTCGCGCGGTGGCTATATACGAGATGACAAAGGCATGTTAGGGTAGCCAAAGGTTTTTCCTGTTTTCCCTTTGGTGGATATCAACTGTTAAGTGACGGGTGAAATTCTCCAGCACAAAGGTCTCGAGTGGTATCAGCAAGTGCACCCTTTAAATGAGTAATTAAGATGTCAAACTGAATTATTGTCATATATAGTCGTCGGGGAAAGACTACCCTTCTCCCTGTTAATCACTGTGAGTGCTAGGTTTATGCCCGTCACGAATAAATATCTCTCTACACATGCACTATTTGAATAGTTAACAAGCCGTAATAATGATAGAAGCATTCCAGGAGTGGGAAAGCGTATGGAAACTTTTTAAGGAAGAGCGACTATTTTCTCATCAGGCGTCAGCAGACCCAGAACATTAGAAAGCAGCAAGTATCATCACTGACGAGAGACCAAGTAGAAAAAGAATGACCTACAGAAACACACCCTCTATCATCCACCAAGTCCTGAGTAGGGCCCAAAGCATTATTGCAAGACAGATGAGAAGTGAGCATACTGGCCTCAACTCTTACCTATACAGAATAAAGGTCCCTGGAGTGGCAAATTCAAAATGCCAGTGTAGATATCCGTCATAAAACGTGAGAAATATAGTCCTAGCTTGTCCTCAGTGGCCTAAAGGAAGAGGAAAGGTGCTGCAACAGGCAAAAGATAAGTCTTTTGAAGCTATGATGAACAGCCTCGATGACTTGAAAAGAATTATAGAGTCGACACTAAGTAACGCTTGGCTTGAACAGTTCCGGCTTGCAGAAGAAGTTTAGATAGCAGTCAATAAAAGGATGACGCTATCAGGAAAAGGACAGGATGGAATTCACATTGGATAAACAGTGTAAACACACTTCCTGTTGGAAACATCGAAAAAACCAATAGACATAAGACTGACAGCTTTGGGGGGGGGCATGTACAGAATTCGCTTTCTTCCTGTGTAAATATTTATAGCTAGATTTACTTGCATGAGCCCATAGGATAACTGAACGGGCTAAATGAAATCAAATCAACCCCGTAACAATGGATAATCATGAACAACTATCATTATGCTCTGCTTTTCAGGATATTTGTTGAGAGCTACAAGACACCAGTAGCGCGCATGTCTAAAAAATTAAATTTGTCATGTTTTGATGTCTTGAAACGGAGGGCAAGACTGAACACCTGTACGCCGTGTCTTCTACGAACCTGGGAGTGAAAAATTCTCCCAGAGCCAAGTCCAGTTAAATTTCGCAATATCAAAGAAGTTGGCCCACGAGGCAATGATTCAAATTACTCCTCCACGTCGTTTTTTCGCTCCAAACGAGTTTGACTCCTAAGTCTCATCAAGTCTACAAGTACGACCTATTACATCCTCATTCCAATCATCACACCTCTTGTCGACTTTCTCTGGCCTTAGCTCGGCACCAAAAACGCGCCCACGCCGATATTTAAAGTCGCAGGAGGAAGCAAAGCGTGGCGCACAAATCTGGCAGATAGCTCTTTGAGATGGACGTGAGAGGTATCAGGACAAGTTAACAAGATGATGCGAAGGAAGGATGTAGCCTCGAAAGGCGTGAAACTTCGGACTTTGGCAAGCAGTTTTACGAATTGAGCTTTGTACGCGCCAAGACTTCGCCTGCGAGAGTGCAGCTCACACTATAAAAACAAGCCGACGATGGAAGGTGTTGTAATCTGCCTCCTGGTGGTGTACTCTGGTACAGTTTGAGTAGCCTGGGCACCTAATCCACTTGGGAAGGAGATACCTAAGACCACATTTCGCGACGAGAAATGTGAACGGATGATGGAGGTATGTCTGCATAACTCATGGGGTTTGAGACATTCCTCTGATTGGGTATTCACGGATGAGGGTTGACTTGGGGTGAAGAAAAAGCCACCATAACTTCACAGTGGTACTAGTAAATGAAATCTGAGGCATGAGTGCTCTTCCTATACGTCGAATCATCTTTTCAGTACTTTTCCTTGATGCTGTGTGAAACATGCTAGGATTCCATTATCCTAGATCGATTCATGCCTGAGTCGCATAATGGAAACTTCGCCAACTTTCTCATGCAGTGTAGTTTACACAATCGTGAATACTTTTACATCTACGAAAACATTTGTTGATCTCACCTCTGAGACTCGCTGGGGAGACTCATATTTTAGAGGGCCATGAATATTTTTTGTGATGGTAAATGCTAGGCAAGGGGCAACTTCAGCAACTTTAAGACACTAGCACAAGTACTACTAGATGGACTCGAGCACTTCACCCTAAGCCACGAGTTTTGCTCCAATTGAGTACCCAATTGCCACAGTGTCTACTCACACGTCGAATCGTGCCTGATCCAATCCACAAAGACAGCCGCTTAGAAAGGGTTGAAGCACAAATTCCGCAATCGCCGCGTGTCCGAGATCTTAACACCGGCAGCTCGTCCCTATATTTTGGCCCTCCTACCCCGGTTCTGGTCTATCTTATGCAGTAGTCTTTATTTTCATCGGGGATCCTCATCAATTCGCCCTTCGAAGACTCCCATATTTCTCCTCACGTAGTGTCCACCAACGTTGGCATCTATTTCATCCATCCGATAACATCAACAATATTGCTGTATCGTCGCCGCAACCTTACCCTTGGAGGCGTGATTTGAGATGAAGAAATAGATTGTAAATCGACAGCATACAGCATGGGTCGAAGCTCGTATAAGCTCTTCTACTGGTCATGATAATTCGATCATTATGTTTCAGGGAGCATCGCTGACACTCGAATGATCAGCAAGTCATCAGATGATCTCAGCTGCTGAACATGTTTAATGTAAGTTCAGGAGCACAAGTAAAGTCAAGAATTTGAATACGATCTTCAGACGACTTAAACTCATCCATGACTCATACATGACTAGTAGCTTGTCGAGTTTGACAGTTTGAGCTGTCGCAGAATCTCTACTGCTTATGATCTTGACCAAAGCAAGCCAACGAACCTTGTCTCTACTATCAACTCATCAAAAACTTTCATCTTGGTCCTGAATCATGGCTAAGACTCAGAACTTCGGAAAGTGTCCATCTCTTGTTTCGTAGATGACACTGAAAACGTGTATCTATAGCTATCCTTCGACTGCAGCTTAGTGGTGCTCGTAAATCTTCTCCATTTGATAAATAGGGCTCTTAGCCATTTATTTAACAGCAAAATTATCGCGGTACTTTTCATTCATCCATTGCAGCCTCACCCTATCCGCTCTTTATCGACAAGTAGCTATGTTCCTCCACCTCTTCTTGATGGGCCTCGGGCTTCCTTTCATTCAGACTCTACAATCACCAGCGACAGAACAGCTGAAAAGGGGCGTTTCAACCGTCTCAAGAAAAAACATTGAATGGCTACGATATCCTCAACCATTTAAATTATTTAAAAGACGAAAACAATTCCCCCCCGGAGGAATTGAATGTTTAGAGTGGCCGATTAAATATCATGAGTTTGATGTGGCCCTTAAATCTGCCTTACGAGAGATGAAAGCCCAAAATCGTAAGAGTAATCATTCAATTACGAAAGGGAGATTTATCCAAACGTATTACAGAAAGCATATACAAGGAGCAAAGCTTTACATGTATCCCATATACGGACTCTATGTTAATCCCAAAGGTGATATTGAGCCCACTCCATATCTTATAATCTCCAAGTCTGGCAAAAATCATGCCGTCTACATGGTCACTGGTGGGAATGTGAAAGCTGTCCCTAATGATCCACAATTGAAATTTAGCCTTTGTTTTAGCGATAGCAATTGACGAGGCGCTACCATGAACCTCTACCTAGGCCGAGCAGCCCCATCTCGATTCGATTGTTCCGTCATACGGGCTATAACTGTTCACTATAAGGCCCATATATTCGCCGTTGATCAATCATCTAGATATGCAGGAGCTACTGGGCAAGAGAGCCCAAGGGGACGACATCAGGTTCGAAAGAAGATATAAGACGGGCTGGTAGAGGCATACGCCTAGAACACATTAGTCAACACGGCAAGCTATCCTGGATACATTTTAGAGACCGAGGCCATATCTGATAATTTGTGTCATCTTCGCTCCAAGCCAATGTGCTCGAGTCAACAAGACGTTATCGGAAAACCATAGACGATATGGAGAGAGGCCTTACTCTTTGGGCTACATACCTACGGAAGATATTGGTCTTCTACAAATTCTAGGGAACAAATATAGTAAAGGGTGCGCGCAGTTCTCTTTTTACAAGTGAGGGAACAGCTGGACTTGGCTATTGTTGATATTGTCATTATACATCTTTTATTATCCATGATGTTTGAAGGGTGTTTTGAGGTGTCATCAAGCCAGCGGGCATGTTACTCACGAATGGTAAAATTTGGAAGACCAAGATGTTGGAAATTCCCAAGTATCTAGGAAAACGCAAGTTCAGTACAATATGTTGAGTGTAGTTATGGACTAATTTATTTACGATATGGACAAGTTTCAGTACGAGGATTGGGTGGTTTATGGAATGAATGTACTTTCTCAGTCTATGACTACATGCGAAATGCGAGTCTTCCACCATGAGGTTAAAGATACCCACGATTTGCGCAGTTGACTCCCTCATGTGCACCCTCTAAAACTCCCGTTCAACAGTACGACCTCTGAAATTTCCATTCAATCTTTCACAAAGGGGCTCTTTATGCTCCTCACTATCTTCACTCTCCCACCAGCGTAACAAAGGCTTTTTACGGGCGAATAGCAGCTAGGAAGATCGAAAGAGCCACCAAGTAGGCATCGCCTAGCAGCACTAGGGGGGGTGGGTAGATGGAGAGAAGAGGAGGTGTCTTTAAACACGGAATTAGGTGAAGATAGCGTTGAATTTTAGTTTGAGAGATATTCAGTTAGTGTAGTAAACTGGAGATCTTTCGAGGAAATCGAAATTACTGCCATACACAGCATTCGAATTTGGTTTAGATGGGAGAGGGAAACTATTGATATTCGTGCTCGTGTCCCGACCTAACAACATTATGCGAAATCTTTGTACTCAGGCTGCCAGGCACAGGGCCTGCATTGAATGGCACGAGACACTTTCCACGCCCTTGAGTGTATCCGTATTAAAACACTCATACCATGGATTGCGATCGCTAATACTCAAACCTGCGCAAGCAGACCTTGCGGCACATTCTCAATCGTGAATGTGGCGGGAGACTGGCTAGCCCGCGCCAGGACTGAGCTGGCTCCTTAGACGGCGCAGTCAGTCGCAGCCTTTGATCCCTAGTCATGGCTGCTCTGAAGCTCTCCTAGAATATTGGCTGATTGCGAGCCGCGAGAAATCCCGAACTCATCCGTTAACAGGCCTAAGCTCATGGCGTTTTTGCTCATTCCCGTCCGCCCGCCCGCTTGACGACTCGGCCGAGCGAGCCGACGTCTTGTACACAGCAAAATCCGCCCGCGTATAGGCTCCGAGTCCGTATTTCAGGCCCATATCTGTGCCCCACGCATCCGTCAAGAAGCCGAGCCGGCGGGATGTCACACATCTAGAGTGAATGCAGATCAATATTGGCGTAGTAATGAGCTTGGTGCCAGGCTAGACTAGTGATGAGCTGGTGGTAACCAAAGCGAAGCCACGCCCGAGACGCGGCCTCGCCATTCACAAACGTATGCCGCGAGTCCTGATGAAGATTTCTCAACAAACACCGCGCAGACTGCCGTGAATTTCTCATAGTACCTCCCGCCCTCCCACTGACTCCAGTGATCCTAGTCGCCGCTCTACGAGAGACCCCTCGTGTGGAGCTGTGGAGGTCTTCTGCGGGCGAGCACTCCTGGGTCGCGTTCATGGCAGGCCGAGTCGACTCGGCCACAACCCGATGCACAGGATTCACAACATCTCACCGGTGTTGAGTCTTCGTTCGCTTCCGTCACTCGAGATTTCATCAGGCGCTTACAAAGAGGTGGAGTGGCAAACGGGATTTTCAGCTTTGCATGGCCCACGAGCTGCTCGGTAGCCTCCACTGAGCTCGACGATATCTATGGCAGGCTATCGTTACCCTACTATTACTCATTGGCTCGTCTTGCAGCTGACCCCCTTCATCCCGCTCTCATGAGCCGACCCTGTGTTACGGGCTGTGCCCAGTTCGGTTAGGCTGGGCTATCTTTCAGGCCCAGCCTTGTTCAAGGACACTAACCAAGTGATCTGTAAGAGAGTTTGTCGAGACTCGAATCACTCGGTTAATTATGCTGAGGCTGGATAACAGATCACTCAGTATCAAAAGAATACGTGTCGGGATACTGGATCACTGGTGGCTGTAGCTGGCATATTTAGTTCAAAGGATTTCCTGTAGTAAATCTCTATAGAAAAATAATAACTCTCTGTGGTACTGTTTACGTGCGGTGTCCGTAATTATCCTCGCCCTTAATATATATTTTTCTATCATTTTGATGTCACCGTCCTAGTCTACCTGATCTGTGCTGTTTTCGGGCTTGAAAACTCCGATTCCCCCTTTTGGTGGTCCAAGCTTAGTGACCGTTTAGGTTGGCCCCTTGAGACGATAGTCGGAAAAACTCTCGACTTCTTCAGCAACCTCTCTTACTACGGCTACCCAATCATTGTATTGCCGAACATGTGGCAGTTTGACAACAATTAGGGCACGGCGCAATTTATCGTTTAACGAGGCCTTCAGTTGTCGTGTCATGGCCATCGTCGTGAACATTTCATCTCCGCCACAAGAAGCCACCTTGCTCTCAAAATCTTTTGGGAAATCGTGGAAGTACTGGTGCTTGCCCTGCTCCATACGCTGAACCAGCTCTAAGGCTGCCTGCTGTGCTTGATTGTCTTCGAATTCTTTCTCTATGACATCTAGTAGGTTCCGCCAGTCGAATTTTTTTAACTTCCTACTTGTTGAGAACCAATTCGCTAATCTGGATTTTTTATCGTCTGGTAGGGTGTCTATTATTTCGATGCAAATAGAACTTGATTCTTCACAGTCTAACATTTCATTTTCCACCTTTAACCTCAACCGATCCACGAAAAATCGAAAGTCCTCCTGTAATCCATTCCATTTTGGTAAAGATATCACTTTGTTAGACGAAGAGGGACCCCGGGAATCTGAGGAGTATATTGTGGCGCGCTTCTTTTTTTGTTCCACCATCCTCAAAATCTCCTCCTTGTCTGCCGATGAAAGCCCTGCGAAGGGATCTGACGTGCTTACTTCTGGCATAGCGATATCGTTATTGGAATATGGCATTTCCGACATTATTTCTGATGCGACCGTTCTGAGATTTGGTGAAAAGTTAGTGCTGTAGAAAGAGTCTTCCGATCCTGATGAAGACACTGAATAGTCTGGTACTAGATAGCTCATACAACAATTGGATACGAGATGTGAATACTTATAAGTACAACTCTGAGCTAGAAGCACCTAAAAGAGAAAAAATGATATGATAGAAAAATATATGTTACGGGCGAGGAGAATTACGAACACCGCACGTAAACAGTACCACAGAGAGTTATTATTTTTCTATAGAGATTTACTACAGGAAATCCTTTGAACTAAATATGCCAGCTACAGCCACCAGTGATCCAGTATCCCGACACGTATTCTTTTGATACTGAGTGATCTGTTATCCAGCCTCAGCATAATTAACCGAGTGATTCGAGTCTCGACAAACTCTCTTACAGATCACTTGGTTAGTGTCCTTGAACAAGGCTGGGCCTGAAAGATAGCCCAGCCTAACCGAACTGGGCACAGCCCGCAACACCCTGCCACTTGAGATTGAATTAAAACTACGTTTATCGAATCTGACATGTCGCCAAGATGCCACTGCCTTAGCATTGACTGCAGCATGATACTTGTGGTGGGTTGGCAATATGCAAGTTGCTATGCTGGCTGTTCTGTTCATCAGGATTTCGCTCTGATTCTCGATCATCTTATTTGCACACCAATGCCGCGTAGAAAGCGAGTCAAACCTGTACAAATGCTAGTCGCCTTTGCATGTTAGACCGTCAATCTGTACAAAATTTTCAAGTAATGAGCTCAAGCTCATCACTCTGATGCTTTCTATTTCACATAATATTTGGACTTATCTTCATATTGGATTTTCGAGTATTGAGTAGAGGTAGATATATATAGCCTTGGAGAAGATACAGAGAAAATAGGAGAGATCAATGAACCACGCTTCTTCTAAATCATATCTACATAAATTTTAGTTCCGTATCTGTTATCCTCATTCCAAGTAGATTGAATCTTTTTCTCCTCCAGTGGCCATTTAATCTCAAAGTACCTGTGGCATCGAAACAATCATCTAATATTTCTTTTATCTCGGCGCATCATATGCTAGTTTGCAATACAGCAGAGAAAACATCAGCTGCAATCGCCATACCATATCAATCCCTAATCCCCAAGCAGCAAGTCGTGTGGTTTATAGAGTTTTCCAAGATCAAAATGAGGCTCAATAGCGACGCTAAATCGTATATTAGTAGACGTAGATTAGGCCTCGAGTCAATTGAAGGCTAGGTACTTCATGATAAGTGGTTGGGATCATCCTTTCATTCAGGAGAAAGATCCTCTTAAGATCCCCTTACGGAATGTCGCGGCCTTCCCAGCACAAATCATATTTTGATTTCGGCCTAAATCGAGTTTTGGACTTCAAGAATGTGCGCAAGTAGATGGCGATCACTCTACATTTTTTGTCGATGACAACGTAAGGCGTAGGCTTGTAGATGCCGTTTTTATCGCGCCTTAATGGATTCAGTGGATAAATGTAAAATTTTTGCCCCTGCCTACTGAAACGACTATGTGTTCGATGAACTTGTCCCACTGAAACTAATTTAACAGTAAAATTCTTTCGCATAAGTTTATATTCTGCGCAGGCTATTTCCCCCGTTTGATAGATTTGTTTGTTGGTGAAGTCTACCGATCCACAGCGGACGCCAGTCTCCGGTACCATCCAAATTCCCGATTTGATATTGAGCTTCGGAATGCGATATGTGGGTGGAGTAGACGCTGCTAGTTCTTTCGGTGCAGCTACTGCGTGATCTATCGACCGTTCAGTGTCCCCTTGAAAGCCGCTCGCACCGAGCTGGAGAAAGCTAAGGCCGAGGCTGATGAAGAGGCCCTGGAATCGCATATGAATTGCCGTCAGAAGAGTTACTGAAGTAAGAAAATTGATGCTATTTGGATGGGGAGGGATCATATATGATCAGTGTCATCGGCGTTGAAGTATTTGCTGGTAGATGATGCTTGAAATTACGAGGTCCTGACTCAGTCTATGACAGTTATTCAATTGTGTGCCTAATCTATAAGTGATTACTAGACAGTTTTCCCTGCCTGAATTCTAGATAATTGCGAAATGACGAAAGCCTCCCCACAGGATGCCAAATCTCGGCTTCGAACGACTCGCTAGATGAATGGACCAGCCATGCATTAATTTAATTTTGCCAGTCGGCTCCTCTAATCCTCGATAGAATAATCATATGCCTAATTGAGCGTGTCATGTTGAGCTATTTTTGAATAGTTATCAGTGATAATCGAGATGCCTCATGCTCAGCGACCGACTGCACAAGAATCTTGATGACCCTTCAATGAACTTGTTTTTTACGAACTTGCTAGGAAATTAGCACTCTCCGCATTATTATAAGGGCTTTAGCATAAGTGGAGCCAGGCTGGACCGGTAAAATATCAAAAAGTACATAAAACTCGTTCTAGATGAATAGCTGGACTACCTCAGAGTTAATCCGTGAGTTGAACATGTCAAGTCCAACTATCCAGAGAACCCGAATTTGATGCGCCAGAGCGCAATATCCTCCTCAGACTCGGCCGGCATGCACTCAAACCCTTGATAGCCTCCCAATCTCTTTTTTTCTTTTCCGCTATCGTTATTTATCCCATTATCTCCTCATCTCATGTAAGAGTCATTTTCATCGTTGGATGCCTCATTCAGTCGCCAACTAAGGCCTTTTCAGTTTCCATTCCCATTTATTTCTTTATGATAGCTTTTACTCAGTCCTTCTATCTGTATCGTTATCTTGGAAACCTTTTAGGCTCCCCGTTTTTCTGGTCTTGCCACGTCATTACTGTGCTCCTGACCATAGAGGTCGAATATAGGTCGAAGAGCTCAAGACCGAGGTATCGATGCCTCGACCTTTGTATACCCTAGTTGATATGCCGACCATATGACGTGCCTATTTTGTCGATGATGATTCATCGCGCATCGAGTTATATTTACTGTTGGCCGATGTATAGACGTATATGAGGCAGGTATTTCGAGCATACTTTCACAGCGCACGATAGTTGCGGTAGAGTGAATGACCACTTGTAATTTTGTTTACGAGTAAGACTCTAGGATTTTAGGGTGCCTCGGTAGCTGGTGAGATTATTTTAGAATGTAGGTCTTCCAGAAAATTTTAAGATGTTAAGTGTCAGCTGTTTGAATACGAGCCTCAGACAGGTTTTATCCCATCTGCAGTTCGTATTTTGGGTGTGAAAGTTTGGTTGAGTCGGATTGTGCAATCGTGAAATCTCTGCAGGTCGGATTTTGGACTATAATCTCGTCAATGCCACTCCTCCCGAACGCCATCCCGACAAAAGCTCTCAGGTCCACTCTTGTTCGTGACTGAGTCTCGGCTCTGAGGGAGTATTTCTCTGCCCGGTTCGTAGAGGACATCGCTGACTGGCTTTGAGCTTTCGTTCTCCAAGGTGGATAGCTGGTTGGACTGTTTGTAGTTTCTGGGTGGTGTAGGGTGCGCCGAAGCGTTAGGTAGTTGGAGACCTGAGCCGTTCGGTATGTGATCATGGTCATAAACTGTGCACTGGCATGACGTTAGTTTTAATCAAACTTGAGCTTGTGGGATCGTTTATGACGCATTTACATATCTAGCTATGATAAATACCAATACTCTGCGTACATTTCAATTGACTATTCTGACTTCAGAGACACTCAAATTCTTCACTTTATTCGCAGATATCACCATCAGGTGTGTACGCCTTCGCTGAATACTTGACCCTCGACCGTGAGTGCGCATGAAAGGGAAGTTTCATATCTTCTGATGAGACAATCAGTGCGAGAAATTTGATGTAATCCCGCTAGACACGAACTAGCAATACCTTGTTATCAGTTGGATATGTATCCAAGCAATCCAGACTTATTCCAAGAGATCAGCCCGGTCGGTGCGAGGTTCCAGGCCCAGATATCAAGGGACGTCCGTGTGCACGGCGCTACGCCGAAATATAAGGTCCAGGCATTAACCCAGAACCCCTGTAGTAAGCACGCGAGTGAAAAGGTGGAGGGAGGCGCAAGAGAGCAATCCTGGAGGGAATCATGGGAAGGGCGACGCGAGCAGAAACTGAGGGTCAAGCAATGTTTGAATGAAACCGAGCAGGCGCGAGTCGTTAATTTACAAGGGTGGAGGAAAACTGTTCAGTCTACGCAGCTTTCTATCGTGCATCTAGTATCGCCGACAGTGAAGCATAGGACGGTCGTAAATCGTCAATCTTAATCATTTACTGTGTGAAAGACTTGACACTCAATATCTATAAAAGCAAATTTTGGCATATCTGAAAATTAAGGTTCTTAAATGTAATTAGAATCTTAAGTTAGATTTACAAAGTCCTCCATAGTCTTAGACTCAGTAGGGACTATAATAAAAATCTAATCATTTACCATTTTCACGGTTATAACCTATCATCCTTGACCCCTGTTTCCATTACCACCATTTTTTTCTTTTTTTGGATATAAGGTTCCGTGAAAAAGGTGGCTGAATTCCACGGGTAAAGACTGAGCTGAATGGCAATTCATCACGGGCAATATATCAATTATTGTAAACGTTATTGGTTCAATCTTGTGTTACAACTAAATCACTAAGGTTCTCTGTCTAGGTTCACCCAAAAAATCGCCCTTCTCATTTGTATCCATGCACGGATCACCTTGGATACCTGCATAACTCCCAGTCATTATATATTACATGACTGCATAACTAGAGCTGACTATACTTAAATATGCATCCCCTCACAATTATCTTTCAAGAAATATGGGAATCAAGGAGCACTGTTCAAGGTGTGGCCTGGGCCAGAGAGGAGCCTAATGTGCTAGATAGTCTAAGACTCAAGTAGTGCAATAAACACACACTCACTCCTTGACCCTAGGATATTTTTGCTCTCTAAAAATCTCAGAAATACCACCGCATTATTCAGCCAAGAATCTATTTACGTTTTCGGCAGCTCTCAGATGTACGATATCGTGGCTCGCACAATTCACTCAATTAATAAATTCCTTTCCAAAATTCAATATCTCTCCTTTCAGGACTCTATCTGTCCTGGGCATTATGTAGTTCGTTTGCCCGGATATGTCTCTCGTCATTCCCGTTAGTCTGTCTCATCAGGTTTGTGTACCGCGATGTGGGTCCTATTGCGGGTATTCATGTTGTCGTAGACGTAAGTTTGAAGGCTAAGCTTGGTCATAGAATCTATCGATGACAGATCTGCTCAGGAACATGAGAATGTGCTAGGTCTCACTTTTAGAGTTGACGAAGCTTTGAATGGAATCTCGTCTAGTCGAGAGCGAAGGATTGGGATGACTGGGAGACCTGACTCGTCGCCTCATATCCCGACGACCCTTGCACGGCAAGTGTGACTAGACACGGCACTCGCAGAATACTCAATCCCATGTCGACAAAAGACGCCGCTGACAGGAGTTTAATCTTCATGTTCCCATGATCCGGGTTCATGGAGTGGGTCCTTCATAGTAGGAAAAAAGACTTCATGATAGCCCACTGTCCATATTTCTCCGCGTTTTACCGACGTTTAGGTTCGTAATATCCAAAAAAAGCCACGGCGAGAATCCACAGTGGATAGCCCAGATTAGATGGTGCAAGTCTTGTCCGATTCAACCTTAGAAAAGGATCTGACTATCGGGCAAGCATGGGATTTTAAACGAAAGGATGAACCGAGGACTCTAACTGCCAAACCCAGTCAATGTCTTTGGTGTCATAGACGGCCATTTCCATGAGTGGTGGTCACTAGTCTATGCTCCCAAGAAAGCCGGCTGTGATAAAATCGACTCAGACAGGATTACATTATGGCCAGATTAGGGAGCTGGTGTAATGAAGAGGTCCTCATGCGGGGCCAATCAACCTCATACACCTCATCGAAAAAAGACATATAGATACTTCAGGAGCTTGGAGGAGGTGCTGGATTCGCCGATCACCACCATAAATTCATACCTATCGTCTTAATTTGTTCATCTACCGCTGCAGCTGGCAATATGCAACTACAAGTCTTTTTCATTGGCCTCGGTTGCTTCTTCCTAGGCATAAATGGTCATCGGGACATATCGCTTATCAAAAGAGGTACGACCTCTTTTCAAAGCACGTTACTCAATTAACAATGTCCTAGGTCAGAGGGGCTGGAATGTACCGGAGAATGGAGTAACTTGTGGATCACAAACATTTACCAAAGACAATATTATGATGTTTGGAGAGAAGGCCTGCAATGAATTTGGCAGGCGGAATAATCACTCGGCTGGTTCTAGCATGGTAGATGGAAAAGCTCACAGAACTGGCACATGGTCTAATAATGGGGAAAAATATTACTTATTACCAATGAGATCTAATAGAGAGGGTTCGACGCACCATCATTCTCCCTCGATTTACATGCTTGTCACAAAAGATGGTAGAGATATCGGCATCTACTCAAAGAATTCACGAAGCGGATTCGCTAGTAATTCGTACACCTTTTGCTGGGATAGTTACAGAAATCTCCCAAATGATGGGAGGCCTGCAACTGATTATAAAGAAAAATATGGTCTCAGATTTTATTCATAGAGAATTCCTCGAAATATACCCAGCACGTTAGGATAGCTCCAATCTAGTTTTCCGCGTCGAATCAAAGCTTCACCCCGAACCCTGAGCTACTACATAAGCTACCGAATACTTTGCCACGGAAAATAGGTAACATGGGCTGTTTATTGGTCACAGTATACGTTATCTATGGCGAATGGTTGACTGGCTTTTGATAATGATGCCTGCAAGAAACGGCCTAATGGTCAAGCGGAAAAGCCAGAAACACCGCTCTGGTTTCATGGGCTCTGCATTCATGCGTTGCGGCCGAGGCAATGGATATCGAGATTGTGAATAAGCCCTCAATGGCAATCATTATCCCATGGTGAGAACTTGGAACACTTGATACAAGTCTTTTGTGCGGCACCGCTGAGTTAGGCGATTTCTATTAGTGTTTTCTGCATTAAATTATACATTTTTTAAATCTGGTTGAATGCTTCAATATTTTAGGGACTTACCAAGTCAAAACAGAGTTACGTGCTAATGGCCTTGTGCTGCGTACTAGATGGAACCCTTTCATGCCCACTTCAGGTTTGTATGTATTATAATGTACTTTGAGAAAATCAGCCGATAAGAGCCTAGCGTTTACCCTATGGTCTAGTAAGATTACGTCGAGGTGTTTTTTTGTAAACCTGCAACGTGATTAACACCCATCGAACTCGTAGTTACCTTAATATGCAAAGATTTGCCGATCGCAGCTATAGTGAAGGGCACTCATATTTTGAATGAAGACGAGACTGACAGTCAATTGCTGCAAGGGAAGACTCGTGATCTTTTTCTACAAGATTGAAAAGCGCTGGACATGTACTAAACAACCGTACCTAAATTCCATCACGATCCTAGAAGTAAATCTTTCTCCCAGAACTAAGTTCAGCTTAATGTAGCTATGCTAAAGAAGTTGACCTACGAGGCAATAACTCAAGGCTCCCAACTGTATCGGGTTTTCACTCCCACCGGCATCATTTTATTTACATATTCGACCTACTACATCTTCGTTTCTACGGTCAAACCTCTCGTTGATTTAATCTGACCTCAATCAGTCTCTAGTTACACGTCCTCGAGAATAAGAATATCTGTTGGAGGACAAAACTCGTGGGCAAAATCCAGAGAGATAGATCCCTCGGACGGACGAGTGAGGATTAAGGAGAGATGGGCAAGATAATGCAAACGTTGGATAGAATCTCGAAGGAAGCTGGACTTGGCATTTTGGTCGGGAGCTTTTCAAATTGAAAAGTATTATGCACTCAAAGCCTTCGACTGTAGCAGTGCAGGCGGCAACATGAGCACATTCAGAGTAAGATGGTGCACTGATGCATCATCAGCGCTGGTCTCATGGACATGGTCTGGTTAGTTTGGACACTGATTCCACTTGAGAAAAGAGATGGCTAGCTCGAATCTAAAAAGGCTCCTTCACATTTCTCTTTTAATCTCGGTACGCACAGACATGCTGTGCGAAAGCAAGTCATGCAGATACTCAGCATTGCGATGGATGGTGTTTATGCGAAGATAGAATTTGGCATGTTTATCACGCACTTCAACAGAATGATAATAATGCTCACGATTCCCGTTGTGGTGTGAACTCTCTCAAACATTCATAAAAGCTGCGTTAGATGATATACAGACCTATACAAGATACGGTTAGTGTCATGACATCTCGCACAGTTATATTTGTATAAGATAGGGAAGAATGTAGAAGATTCTACAACACAGGATTGTGACAGAAACCGAGTTGGTGATAAATATATTGATTTATTAACCTAATTGAGGAGAAAACAGTTCTCAAGTTACTATTAATCGGTGTTCATAAGAGTTGGTCCGCTTTGCCAATCTCCAGACTGATGACTTATCCTTGGGCACAATACTTGCTACGCAGCCACGCATTGCCAGGTGTTACTTAGTTGTAGTGCACTTAGACGTTCTGGCTATATTTTTTTTCTTGCATTAGATTTTAATTGCGTATGCAGCTATCTAGCTATGAAACAGTATCAAAGAAACGTACGGAATAGCACTCACGCCTCGGATTTCATTTGCAAGTACCACTGCGAAGTTAAGGTGGCTCTTTCTTCCCCCCAAGTCAACCCTCATCCGTGAATACCCACTCAGGGGAACATCTCAAAACCCCTGAGTCATGTAGATATGCCTCCACCATCCATTTACTTTTCTCCGCGCGAAATGTGACCTGAGATTGTTATGCTCAGCTATGTAGTATGGTAGATCTAGTAGCTGGTGCATAGGTAGTTATTATGGCAGCATGGCATTGTGGCGTATGAAAGATATCCAGTCTCTACATAATGACATTACAAATAGTGCTGTGTGCAGTTTGAGAGATGGGTCGTTGATGTTGGGAAAATGGCATAGCTGGTCAGTTGGGAGCAAACTTTGGTGTGCCGCATACTGGTTACGTGATCGGTCTACAGGCGAACAAGGTAGGGGATAAGGGACGAGCTTCCCCCAGTCTATAACATGACAATTATCACAGTAACTTCACTTCTGCATATTAATGAAGATATCTCTGGAGGGCAAGACTGAACACCTGTACGCGGTGTCCTCTACGAACCTGGGAGTGAAATATTCTCCCAGAGCCAAGTTCAGTCAAATATCGCAATACCGAACAAGTTGGCCCACGAGGCAATGATTCAAAATACTCCACCATATCAATCTTTCACTCCCAACGAAATCGATTCCTACCTAAGCCTCATCAAGTTTACAAGTATGACCTAGTACATCCTCATTCCAATGACCACACCTCTTTTCGACTTTCTCTGGCCTTAGTTGACCACCAAATACACGCCCACGCCGATATTTACACCCGACGGAGGAAACAAAGCGTGGCGCACAAATCTGGAAGACAGTTCCTTGGAATGGATGTGAGAGGGATCAGGACAAGTTAACAAGATGATGCAAAGGATGGATACAGTCTCGACGGGCGTGGAATTTTGAGTTTTGGCAAGGAGTTTTTACACATTGAGCTTTGTGCGTGCCAAGACTTCGGCTGCGAGAGTGCAGGCGACACTATTAACACCACCATGGTTGGATGGTGCGGTGGTACATCGTCTTGGCCGGTCTGCCAAGTAGAGTCTGGATAGCTTGGACACATATCCCACTTGAGACAGTAGATCGCTGTTTCAAATCCAGCAAAACACAACCACTTTTCTCGAGGCGCTCGTATGCATGGATGACGAAGGCATGCTTGGATAACCAAACGTTTTGAAATTTCCTTTGGTGGATACTTACGGAGGAGGGTTGACTGTTAGTGTAAGCGAACATATCTCATAGTGGTATTTGCAAATGAAATACAGAGTATGAGCGTCTCTAACGTCAAAAGAGTCTTCCAAGATATATTCATAGCACCGGTCATGTGTCATAGCTAGATAGCTGAATACACATTAAATGATTCAAAAAAAAAAAAAGATATCTCTCCACAAACTATCTTAGCTGTTCCAGCGCAAGTGTACATTCCCAAGTCATATACCAATCATAATAGAGATGTCTCCTTCCCAAGCCGAGTAGGTGTTCAGGCTAATCAAACTATATCGGAAAACACCACCAGGAGGCGGACCACGGCACCTTCTATCGTTGACTTGTATTTATAGTGTCAGCTGCACTCTTCTTTGTTTGTTCATTAACGTGCTAGGTCAAGTGTTTCCCGTCGCATTCCTATTGGAGCTTAAGAAAGAGAGTTGTGTTTATTGCACTACTTTAGTCATAGACTATCTAGCACATTCGGCTCCTCTCTGACCCAGGCTACGCCTTGAACAGTACTCTTATTCTTTTTTGTTACTTGAAAGATCATTGATATATTACCAGTAATTAATAGCCATTCAGCTAAGTGTTTACCGGTGGAATTCGGCCACCTTTTCCACGGAACCTTCTACCCAAAAAAAAACAAACAAAATGGTATCAATGAAAATTGCGTGCGCGGGAAACAGTCTCAAGTAACCTGCAGCCCCAGCCAGGCTAGGCTTAGACACCGGGACCACATGAGGTGCGCATATTCATCTATATCTCCATTTTTTGCAATAGTTGAGGCCGACTTGATCCAATCCACCATCTTCGTATCGGATGCTGGGTAGGCTCCGGAAACTCATCGGATGGCTTTTCCTCCTTCAATAAGGGCTGGTGATGAGTAGGGCTCCGACCGTACCGTCTGATCTGATCGGGGTTAGCTTCATGATAATGGTGATAGGGTAATATGTTGAGAGATGAAGACGAAACAGACCGCGAAAGCGATCGGGAATCCTCATCGAAGTGAGGACTTTGATACTCAATCTCGGCTCTGCAGACTCTACAGTGAGAGCTGGAGGTTCATAGGGGGACACCGGTGATAGGTGTTGAGAATAGTCCCCTACTGGAGTTTGAACACGAGTGGGGTCGGGCCGGATCGGGTTAGCTAACGTAAAGCACGAGTTCCTCGTCCCACCTCTATGACCGGAACTATGCCAAAACTCATCTATGTGTTAAATCATGACGAGTTCAGCAGCTCAGAATGAAAACAAACGAAAAGTTCCATGCGGAATCCCGAATTAAAAAAGAAAGACTTTAACAATCTCTCTTCCATCGTTCTGCCTCAGCTACCACGCGCCCGAGCCCTGATTCCAATCCCTCTTTCCATGCCAAACCAATTTGGCTTTCGATCTGTGAACTCCGAGTCACAGGTATCCCTGCCGTCCCCCGAATAACCACCGCGTATATTCCGCTCTCCTGGAAGTAGTCCCCGAACAGCTGTCACCCACTTGATCCGAGCAGATTTTCCAGAGCCGGCGTCCCTCTCTTTCTGCATTTCAGCCGCCACATTTCCAGTGCTTTCCGACACTGGACAAGGTGATCAATTGATTCTTCCCTCCCGCACTCGCAGTGAAGTGTGGCGGTGGAGGGTAAGACTGAAAACCTGTACGCGGTGTCCTCTACGAACCTGAGAGTGAAATTTCCTCCCAGAGCCAAATACAGCCAAATTTCGCAATACCAAATAAGTTGGTCGATGAGGCAATGATTCGAGGCTCTCCACCTAAAAATTTCTCCTACCCAACGAGATCGATCCTCACCAAAACCTTATCAAGTTTTCAGGTACGACTTAGTACATCCTCCTTTCAATGACCACACCTCTCTTCAACCTTGTCTAGCCTCATTAGATCAAGAAATACATGCCCACGCCGATATTCACACCCGACAGAGGAAACAAAGCGTGACGCACAAATCTGGGAATCAGTTCTTTGGAATGAACGTGAGAGGGATTAGGACAAGCTTACAAGATGTTGTAGAGGATGGCTATTGTTGAACGGATTGGTTTGCAAAAGCTTGTGGCTGTTAGGTACAGATTGTATCACTTGGTGAAGCGAGTGGGAAAGTAAAGGAGTCTATAAATCTGTCGTGGAGAGTTGTTAATTACTCCCACTAGAACACAGAGTGCTATATAAACTATATTTTGTAATAATAAAATCTAGTGGTTGGTATTTACGTCAAAGCGAATTAATACTAACCTCACAATTAATGGGAGATTAGTGATGTGTCTTCTACACATCCCTGTCTTTACCATAATTGGAAGCACCAATTTCAACAGCTATAATCTCGACGGGCGTGAAATTTGGAATTTTGACATTGAGTTTTACGAACTTAGCTTTCTAGTTGCGCCAAGACTTCGGTTGCAAAAGTGCAAGCGACACTCCAACCACCGCCATGGGGGGGTTTTTTTTTGCATCAGATTTTAATTGCGTATGCAGCTATCTAGCTATGACACAATATCAGAGAAGTGTATGATAGATGACTCAATTTACAAGAAGAGCACTCATGCCTCGGATTTCATTTGCGAGTACCACTGCGAAGTTATGGTGGCTTTTTCTTCACCCCAAGTCAACCCTCATCCGTGAATACCCACCCAGGGGAACATCTCAAAAACCCTGAGTTATCCAGACATACCTCCATCACCTTTCAACTTTTCTCCGCGCGAAATATGGTCTGAGATATCTCCTTCCCAAATGGAGTAGGTGCCCAGGCTACTCAAACTATACCGGAGAACACCACCAGGAGGCGGGCCACAACACCTTCCATCGTTTGCTTGTTTTTATAGTGTCAGCTGCACTCTCGCAAGCGAAGTCTTGGCGTGCAAAAAGCCCAATTCGAAAAACTCCTTGCCAAAATTCGGAATCTCATGCCCTTCTAAGTTATATCCTTCCTCTGTATCATCTTGTCAACTTGTCCTAATCCCTCTCACGTCCATTCCAAAGAACTGTCTCCCAGATTTGTGCGCCACGCTTTGCTTCCTCCGTCGGGTATAAATATCGGCGTGGGCGTGTATTTGGTGACTGGCTGAAGCCAGAGAAAGTCGACCAGAGGTGTGGTCATTGGGATGAGGATGTACTAGGTCGTACTTGTAGACTTGATGAAGCTTAGTTGAGAATCGGACTCTTTGGGAGTGAAAGATTGACATGGTGGAGTAATTTCAATTTTGCCCCGTGGGCCAACTTCTTTGATATTGCGAAATTTGACTGAACTTGGCTCTGGGAGAATATTTCACTCCCAGGTTCGTAGAGGACACCGCGTACAGGTGTTCAGTCTTGCCCTCCTTCTGGGTGTCGTAAGGCGCGTTAGAGCATGGAGTAGTTCTGAGGGCCCGATCCCTCGTACTCAAGATAATGATTACAAGCTATGCACTGGTGCGACGTCAAATTTTACCAAATTCAAACACAAGCTGTATCGTGAGCCCTAAGGCTTTACATTAGCATGAAAGTTGTAGCTTATAATTTCAAAGCTCTTGTAGGTTGCTGTTCATAGTATATCAAAAGCATTGCGAGATTGAGTAGTGTAATGTGAATAAAATGAGCTACATAATCTCTGAAATCCACTCCGAGCAATTACCACCCTGCTACTAAATAACCTCAAGTATATAATATTAGTCAGCTAAATATATTTAATCGACTTTGAAATGGGGTTTTTGTGGCACTAAGTTATCTTAATTCGATAGAACTCCGATAACCGTACCCTCAACATTGATGAAACCCTCAATCACTAAAGTTTTGATCCTGGAGTATCCGCCAGGACCAAGCTGTAGCCATTTTTCCAACATATCATTACTCTCTTTCGGTTTGACTTTCTTACCGCTAGTGCCAATAGTAATATGGGCAACTTGATTTACGCAATCCCATTCCTTATCGACGAGACGGACAACAATTGCCATGATTCGTTCGTCCCAGACAAGCTATCGTACGTCAGTTCAGTAGATTTTGTGCTTAAACAATCATATTACCCGCTCTAGATAGATTTTGCACTGGCCAATCTTTTGCCGATTTTTAGAAAGATCCCCCTCGCATGCTTCGCTGTATAGTTTCATATATTTTTGCCATAATTCAGGATGACTCTTCGCAGAAGATTGGTGGGCAAGTGTGACGTGAAATTCGGTTTGAATGCGGTTGTCACGGTTTAGCAGCTTCCAAAAGTATCTAATCTCATTTGAGGATACTGATTCGAAACAATTAGTAACAGTCTGTAGTATTTGAGCTGTAGGTAATGTGACACAAAAGTACTCCATCGGTTTAAGCTTTTTAGAGGGTAACTATTATAACAATCACCAAAGATCTACAGAACATGGACAGATTTTTTTCAAACCTTATTTTTACTGTTGTTTTGTTTTGACACACTATTATCTAGATGGCCTGGAATTCTAGGTTGGATAGCCATCTTGTAATCATGGATAGCATAGTTAATCGCATCGTCAAGGTCCTCTTTATTCGGCATGTCACCGATAAGTTTAGGAAACAAAGTTCGTAGTTGCTCTATAACTGTTTCTAGGTTTTTGCGAGAATCTAGGGTTGGATCAAGATCTACTACTGCGTCAAATTTACTGTCAGGTTCTTCTTCAGCATTGAAAGCTTGAAATCTATCCATAAAGTTTTCCATGATAGAGATAACTTTATCTTTATCTGAAGATGCTTGTATAGTTTGATGATTGTCACCTCTTGATATGACCCGAGCTTGGGTGACTTGCCGAATACGATTGTATGCTTCTAAACTATGAACAAAATGAAGAGCAACTATTCGAGTTTGCGGGTGGCTCCTGGACACATCTTCGAGCAATTGTCTTCTTTCTCGTCGTTCCGTGTTGTTTCGATCAGCAAATACAACTGGCCTCTCCTCTAACTTTGCTAATACCTCTTTGACAAAGCGGGGTGGTCGACCCTTGCCTTGAATATTATCATTTTGCACAATTTCCCATTGAAAAAGATGGGATAGAGCGACAGCTATGGTGGTTTTACCACATCCAAGAGTGCCGATAGGTACTAGAATGATATTATCGACGACATCATGAAGAGTGCCTCTATTATCCTCCAGTACTTTTTTGATGATATCCGAGCCACTTAGGCTTTTTTCTTTTAAAAAGTCTTCTCTAAGCTTGATAATGCCATGGTTGTCTTGGTAAGCTTTGGCTAACTCGGGGTTTTCAGAAAGCCTTCTCTCAGCAAACTTGAGATATTCCTCCGTTACTGCAATCTTCTTCTTTAACCGAAGGGGCTGCTTACTGATCATAGCCTTAGTACATTCACGCCACTGACGATACAGTAGATATGGTTCCTCAAATTTGTACTTGAAAAACCAATCTTCGAGTTCATTTGAGCTGTCTCGAGGAACCTTACATCGAATGACAAACCCTTCAACATTTCGACCATTGTAACTCCCAGTCTTTGCTGCTTCTTCGAGAAAATTCCTAGTGGCTTTGATATCTTTGAAGACCACGGATTCCGTCTTTCGAAACCCCCATTTTTCAGCAAAATCCTGAACATGGATGCCTGGATAGGTTACGAATTTTGGAATGTTTAGATTAAGCCCGTGTAGATATAGCCCAGAGTTTTCTCCTGTGTACGGAAGGATATGCTCCTCAAAACTATCATCACACAGCTCTGCCACGGCTGTAACGTTTCTGGTGCGAAGTTCCATAGCAAGGTCTTCCTTAGCTCTACCAAGCTTGGCAAGCTGTAAATTGATCCGCTCTTCTCCAGCTACAGCGTGAGATATTCCGCTATCTCGCGATCCCGTAGAATGCTTGCTTGTAACTAGCAGTGACCCATCACAAAGACCACTTATGAATATGATGCAGCCGTTTTCCTTCAGACTTACTTCATATGGTCCCTGGGTAGTTGTTTCTATATTGTTCCACTTTGTTGCGCTCACTTCATCGTTATTAAAAAATTTGTCATATCCACGAATGATAATCTCGTCTTGATCCTTTTCATTTTTTCCGGTAAAAAGTCCTCGAGCGTAGACTGGTAGGTCAGTGCGACGGTAGTCCCATTCTCGGAATCGCCATGAGCTAACAACGAGATTTTGATGCGACCCGACATCATTAAAAATGGACTCCTTGCACATAAAAGACTTCTTTGCAGGCTTTTTGCAAGACTCCTTTAGCCGACCAACCAAGGCACTAACCTCAGAGGCAACTTGAGGCGCATATATCGCTTTACTTAAATCCATTTTCACGTAGAGCCTCTTCTGGAAATTCAACTGTGTAAGTGCCCTAGATTAATGTCCGATTGGATAATAACTTACTTGGAACATGCCGATATTTGAGGTTGTGTTTGGTTGGAGCCTGAGGCAATAGTTCTGAAATTAAAATTGGGTACATGGAGTTTTTTCCGCGTCACGCTGAGAATTGTTGAGGCCTAAATGCACGTGCAACGAATTTGTACACTCTTCGTTGATTTCACGAGCCGATAACCGACTGTCTCTTTCCATCTAAGGAGTTCAACAGTTGTGGAACCGATCTAGATCGGGTTTAATGCCATCAGAAACATGAGCCTGGACCATCTTGAACGACTCAACCCCACTGATTTTAGCCTTAAATTTCTAGATACTTTGTCTGGAGATTAGGATAATGGATGCATCAAGTGATGAAATCCTTCTTATGTACTTGAGGCTCGCGACCAACACTCTCTACAAGGTCTTATTGAACAGCAGACAGGGAACCTACTCGCCATTCTTCGTTTTTTACCTAACTAGTTTTGTGAACACTGTTTGGGGACTCATAGCTACAGGGAAATCCCCAAAAATACTGAGTGCAGGGCTTTTCTAATATCGAAATGAGGACCAAATTCGAAGAAATAACTACCCTCCTGAAGAACTTGAAGAGGCCGGCCACCTGGGCGCTGCAGTACTTTGTGTACCTCGTGAAATTCACTCTCTGCCTTTATAGCCTCCTTCCAACTCCTTCCCGAATTAGGGCATGACCCTCAGGATCACCTGGCATATTATTGTAATATTCAAATTTGTTGGTTCCACTCAGGTTGAGTGTTGCGACCTCAGGCCGATAGGCTCGACAGACAATAATAGCTGACTAACCTGGAGAGGCCTGTGCGTCTCATCTAATTCGTAGATGTTCGAAACACCCTACATGGAAATAATAATATATAAAATTCAGTACACTCTATTTCCATTCCCCAGCACTAGTGCTTAAGTCCTGTCAACAAAATTAAAAATTAACCTATAAATTAAAAAGCTATCTAGATACATCTTTAAATAGTCTTTTATAGTCTAGGACTCAGTAAAGATTTAAATTTAAATCAATCAATAAACTCCTTCCCGAAGGTTGTGCTGAAATGTCGGAAAAGCCTTGACAGAGCGTGATTACTGTTTAGTAGCTTAGCCCAACTTCTTTTGTGCGGTCCAGGGCTCTGGTGAGTGCTTTTGACTCATCAACAATAGAAGTCCTGGTATTTACCCGAAACCATTATATTGGCACTCACAAACATTCCAAAGTCGAGAACTCTTCGAAATATCAGTCCCAGCATGCCCGCGAGATATATCTCACCACTCTCATTTCACGCCCCAGTCGCCTGTCCCTCTTCAAGTTATAGGGCCCTTTTAGAGTAACAATCCCCCATCAGACAGACCCCGAGCTTTGTATATTATGACTTAATTTCCTCCTAGGCATACGAGGCGTTGTAAATTTGGTTATGAGTGAAAGCTGGTAATTAATGAGGCAGGCTCCCGTTTACGATTGGGGTGGCCTCTTGGTAAGTCTCTTGGGCGAGGTGGTAAGAGTTAATCAAAGAAATCGCGTGAAAATGATAAGATTGACAATAATGAGGAGTCGTCGATTATATAGGTGCTTGCTTCGCTTTCGGGTGCGATCCGGATGCAACTCTACCTAGCTATCCTAGATGTGCAGGGAAAACAGAGCAAGAACACATACAGCGCTGATAGCTTAGGTTTTCGTCTCTGTCGGCTGGAGGTTGGACGTGGATATCGCTGGTAGAGGGTATACCTCGTTTCCCGGAAGCTGATTTATCTATAGTTCTTCGAGTTGTCTTGCATTGTGTAGATCAATACCTATTGTGATAGCTTTGATCCACTTTACAATAGCATAGCAAATTTTTATCCATTACAGTCCCCATAAAATTTTACACCGTAGCTGTATTACCTGCTCTTTCGTATCTCCTAGATAGTGTGAGACATCATCAGCATTTTCAGGAACATGGAGGGTAAACTCGAGCCTACAGCCTCTCAGAAGATATCTATCACGCCGCTACTACGAAGATTGTGGCCATCACCGAGCGAGCAAAATGTGACAGCCCAAGAAATTGCTGAGGCATTATCTTACATTTTTACCGATAGATTATCTTCCGTCCAGTCTGGGGCTCTACTAACCTGCTTACACTTCACAGGATGGGAGCAAAGAGCTGATGTTCTGATGTACTGTGCGCAAGCTATGCGGGAGGCAGCATTGACTGTTGATCGCGATACCATGGTGAAGATAGTGCGAGACAGAGGGATAAGCGAAGGCCGATATGAAGGGGGTCACGTAAGTCAAACTGCGAATATGGAATCAATTGTTAAGACTTGGTTAGTGCGACATCGTAGGCACTGGCGGCGATTCTCATAATACGTTCAACGTTTCAACTACCTCATCAATTTTAGCATCTGCCCTCCTTCTCGTTGGAAAGCACGGAAACCGTGCCTCTACATCTAAATCCGGTTCTGCAGACGTGCTACAATCTACATTTCCAAGGGCACCGAATCTTCTAGCTGCGACAGAGAAGACAATCTCGAAGATTTATGAAAAAACCAATTACGTTTTTCTATATGCTCCTGTATTTCATCCGGGCATGAAGTACGCTTCGCCAGTTCGTAAGGATTTAGGTTGGCGAACTATATTTAATCTCCTTGGTCCCCTCACAAACCCACTGGAAGAACATATAGAGGCTCGGGTCCTCGGAGTCGCACGAAAGGATGTGGGCCCAGTCTATGCCAATGCCCTTAAGATGAGTGGAGTTCGAAAAGCTCTAGTGGTTTGTGGTGACGAAGACTTGGACGAGATTAGTTGTGCTGGCAAGACACATTGTTGGAAGCTTTCTGGAGGATCCACAGGAGAAGCACCGGGCCAAGATGACATTCAAATTGAAAATTTCATTCTGAGCCCCTCTGACTTTGGTTTACCTTCTCATCCGCTGTCAGACGTCTTTCCGGGTAAAGAGCCAGTGAAGAATGCCGATATTTTAATGAGATTACTCCAAAACAAACTTTCGCGCGACGATCCAATATTACACTTTGTCCTCATAAATACATCGGCTCTATTTGTAATTTCTGGCATCTGTGAGGCGGATACAAGCAATATGGGATACGGCGATAGCGGTCTCGTAATTACTGAGCGAGGACCAGGAGGTGAGAGATGGAAAGAAGGTGTACGCAGAGCTATATGGGCTATTGAGAGTGGCGAAGCTTGGAAACAATGGTCAAGCTTCGTAGATGCCAGTCATGACGCAGTTTAAATTTGCCAAGCATTACAATTGTTGTCTAGTCTTCTTTTTATCATTCCTTCTTCGTTTTTACACCAAGTAATCTCTATACAAATTTCCGCAAAAGCTGTACACCGTTGCGATGTCAAATCTTCTCTCATTGCAATATTTATCGACGATTAAACCCTCCCGCTTCACTCTATGCACCATGCCACAGCGTATCAGATGCTAGGGGTGAAGGGTTATAAGAGAGCTAACAAAAAGATCTACCGGCATAGGTGGAAGACATTAATCTTCAGTAATAGTAGAGTGTAGTTACTACGGATTTACCCGAGAAACTAAGAGTGTTGCAAGTTACCGGAAGAAAGGTCCTCTCCCTAATCACAAGGGAAACCACTAGGCGTTCTGCCGATACAAAAAGCATTATGGATAGATATTCTTAACTCTGGCCCACTTAGAGGAGAGATTTTTGGCTTTGGAAAACTTCATCAATATTAAAACCAAGCAGAAGGCATGACACATAGTTATTCAAACGGCAACTCAAATCAGAAGTGCCAATCCTATATTTGCGCTAGTAATGACCCTGTCGATGATTTAAATATCCTCGAAAAAAAGATTTCTGGTGCAATAGTAATGCAGCTAAATAAGTTGCTCGAATATAGAAATTCGCACACGTCAGGGCCACACGCTGTACGATAAATTAGAAGCTGGGACATTACCTTTTTTCTAATAGAGATATCAGACATCTACCGCCCTGAGTATACATCGGCTAGAAGTCTTACAACACTTGATTAAAATCATCGCGTACAGATTTTCAGTAACCCTTGTATAGTTTTTAAGTCAGTATTATGCAAAACATGTGTGTATACCTGTATTACATCCTCTACAGGAAACAGTTGCAAAGCTAGTACGAATTTGATACATATGTATACTGGAAGTTGTTATTTTACCAGAGATACATAATTTTCGGCATATGAATCATGAGAAGAGAAAGTAGCAGGAATGCAGCTGTAATGTAGAGATGAAAGAAGCAGGCTGGCTATGAGAGAGTATCTAGAGACGGGCAGAGACTATAAGCTAACGTGCATGTGCTACATGTACACACGTCATCTTACCTAGGGCCAGTTTTGATTGGGATCAAAACTAGATGTAATATGAGGTTGAAGAATCATCGAGGTCGAATTCCATAAGAACGTTTTAATTACCCTATATTTAAATCTTAGGCAACTGCTTAAATTTGAATGACTCGCACTGGAGATTAAAAAACAAAACGCACCATAAAAATGAAAATGTAGAGAAAATATTAGATTTGAGTTGAAGTAAAGTTTAGGGGTTTAACTCATGAAGTAATACGCAGGGATATGAGAAACTACAAAACCTCGCGGCTCTTAGGCCTACAGTAACAATTTAGCAATTCATTACGATTTCAGCGTAAGAAGAGCAGAAACTATAGCTCGAGCAACCTTTCTTTTATTATTAATATATGTTATGCTTAAGACGAGAATCCAAATGCGCTCAGCTCGGACCCAGAGTGGCTGTGCAATCGACAATCATTGCAGTGGAAAGATTTTATCGTAGCTGAGTACAAAATCATTGTATGGGGAATGAGAAATCATTAATCTCGCATCAATAACATCATTACATTTGAATAGAAGCAGACGCGACCTTATCTTGTACTCGATTTATGACCAATTTCATACTGCCCCGTACATACAAATGCACGAGGAAGTTGCTCAACAGCCAAAAGAGATTAGAATATAGTGTTAAGGAAAATTGTTCACAATTGCAAGAAATGCCAATGACCTTAAGAAATATGGCAAACTACAAAATAATTCCTTACTTTCTTCTAGCTGAGAAATTCTCAATGAAAGATGTTTTAGGTAACTCATTTCCTGTGCAGACATCTTGATTTTCTCGGTGCAATCACACCTGAGAATTTAATTGGTAAAATTCATCTTCATTGGGCTCTTTTTAAGCTTCAGTTTTAATAGCACCATATTGACAGGGGTGACTATTTTCAACACCTGTCAGTTGTGTCCCCCTACGAACCTCCAGCTCTCTATGATGAGTCTGCAGAGCCGAGATTGAGTATCAAAGTCCTCACTTCGATGAGGATTCCCAATCGCTTTCGCGGTCTGTATCGTCTTCATCTCTCAACACATCCCCCTACCACCATTATCATGAAGCTAACCCCGATCAGATCAGACGGTACGGTCGGAGCCCTACTCATCACCAGCCCTTAATGAAGGAGGAAAAACCATCCGATGAGTTTCCGGAGCCTACCCAGCATCCGATACGGAGATGGTGGCTTGGATCAAGTCGGCCTCAACTGTTGCAAAAAAGGGAGATATAGATGAATATGCGCACCTCATGTGGTCCCGTTGTCTAAGCCTCGCCTGGCTGGGGCTGCAGGTTACTTGAGACTGTTTCCCGCGCACACAGTTTTCATTGATACCATTTTGTTTTTTTATGGGTAGAAGGTTCCGTGGAAAAGGTGGCCGAATTCCACCGGTAAACACTGAGCTGAATGGCTATTCATCACGGACAATATATCAATGATCTTTCAAGTAACAAAAAAGAATAAGAGTACTGTTCAAGGCGTAGCCTGGGTCAGAGAGGAGCCCATTGTGTTAGATAGACATAGACTTTTTTATTTAATTCATTTAGTGTATGCAGCCTAATTAGCAATGACACTATGTACAATTATTCTCTAAGACACACTCCTCCTTATTCCATTATGTGATTCACTTCATGATACAAAGAAAATTCTTGATGAGTAAACTGTAATTAGTTGGTTGATTTCTAGATTCCTCATCCCTATTTCCAGAAAGGCAGCCGGTTGTTGAGAGATATCTTTGAAGCGAAGTTTTCCCCACATTTGCGTTGAATAAAAACTCCAAGTGTGTGTGTGTGTGTGTTTTATTGTACTACTTGAGTCTATGACTATCTAGCACATTGGGCTCCTCTCTGACCCAGGCCACACCTTGTACAGTGCTCCTATCCTCTTTTGTTACTTGAAAGATCATTGATATATGGTCCGTGATGAATAGCCATTCAGCTCAGTGTTTACCGGCGGAATTCGGCCACCTTTTCCACGGAACCTTCTACCCAAAAAAAAAAAAAATGGTATCAATGAAAACTGTGTGCGCGGGAAACAGTCTCAAGTAACCTGCAGCCCCAGCCAGGCGAGGCTTAGACAACGGGACCACATGAGGTGCGCATATTCATCTATATCTCCCTTCTTTGTAACAGTCGAGGCCGACTTGATCCAAGCCACCATCTCCGTATCGGATGCTGGGTAGGCTCCGGAAACTCATCGGATGGCTTTTCCTCCTTCATTAAGGGCTGGTGATGAGTAGGGCTCCGACCGTACCGTCTGATCTGATCGGGGTTAGCTTCATGATAATGGTGATAGGGGGATGTGTTGAGAGATGAAGACGATACAGACCGCGAAAGCGATTGGGAATCCTCTTCGAAGTGAGGACTTTGTTACTCAATCTCGGCTCTGCAGACTCTACAGTGAGAGCTGGAGGTTCGTAGGGGACACCGCTGACAGGTGTTGAGAATAGTCCCCCAAACTCCAAGTGTGTGTGGTGACAAATTTTGAAATTTTTTCTCCTCTGTGTCTTGAAAGATTAACAGTAGAGTGTTAGATGTTCAATTTTTTGAACACTTTTTTAGCAGTAGTTGCAGATATTAGTATCCATTAAGGAAATAATGACCCCTCAGTCATTGAGGTTGTAGAGCGCATTGATTCAAGTAACTACCGAAGTGAAACTAACAACAGAATTTGTAGTCACGTGTGTATCGACAACGTGGCCTACTTTATGGCCCCAATTCTTCTAAATTCTAACAGTATCACTTGCCGGCAAAGACGAATTCTTCACCTTCCAGTGGTGCCGGTGTTATCGCTCAGTATGCTCTGTATATCTGGGATAGCCAAGAAGAATCGCAACCGAATCGAAGTCGAAAGCAAATATATGCATATCTCCATTTGACGACTTCTCAATCATGCAGCACTCACCATAATCTTCTAAGTACTCAACCTCTTTCTAAACACACATAATCTCGACTCGATGACCGATAAAGGCGTCAACCCAATTGCAAACAGGAGCTTGCCTCAATAATTACCGACCATCACTCACTACAAGTTTACGACGCTACGTATACCCGCAAGGAGGAAATTAAGTCATAATATACAAAGTTGGGGTCTTAGTTTATGGGAGACTGCTGCTCTATTGGGGTTATACTTCTTGAGGAAGGACAGGCGGCTGAGATGTGGAGCGAGAGGGGAAAGAGATCTCTGAAGACCGTGCTGGGACTGATATTTTCGAGAAGTTTTCAACTTTGGATTTTTTGTGGACGCCAAGACCAAGATTTCGGCTAATAAGCCAGGAGGGCTTCTTTCGTCGATGAGTCAACTGCACTCCCCAGCGCCCTGGACGGTACAAAAGAAGTCGGGCTAAGCTACTATACATCAATCACGCTCTGTCAAGGCTTTTCCGACATTTCAGCACGAACTTCGAGAAGGAGTTGGAAGGAGGCTAGAAAGATAGAGAGTGAATTCTCCGAGGTACACACAAGTCTGTAGTACCCAGCTGGCCGGCCTCCTCGAACGCATCAGAAGGATCACTGTCTTCGGATTCAGTCCTAATTTCAGTATTAGGAGAGCCCCGCACCCAGTGGTTTTTGCAATTTTTCCCGGCTGCCATACACCCGCAAATGGCCATCGTTTCGTTGGCTGGAGAGGGGAGATAATGAAGGGCAAAGGGCTCCTCATAGTGTATGATCGAATGAGGACTTGTGAGGGGTGGTACTGTTTGAGGGGAGCTGTATGAGAGGCATAGGAGGGGATATACTACTGGTATAGGTATCCTTGGCCTGTAGGTAGAGAGGACCTGCATGTCCTACATAGTCATAGACTCAGATAGGACAATAAAATGAATTAAAAAAAATTAACAGTATCACTTTTTCCAATATTCTCCTTATAAGCCAGATGGTTTCCTATGCCTGTTCTAGCTTGAAAATATGAT